TTTTGCACTTTACTTTGTATTCACATTCATTCATGTTGCAACAAATAAACGATTTACTTTACATGTTTTATAGTCTACCGAAGGTTTATTTTCGAAGTTAGCATTCAACAGTTGTCCAGTGTTCTCTACATTTTCAGTGGTTTTCTAATGTGTTTCTGCTTTAAATGAAAACAACTTTCAAAATATGTGTATGTATGCCACAGAATGAAGATCTTAATACTATGAGATTTATTAGTATTAGTTTCAAATATAATACTTTACAATTGAATGATTGTTGAGTAGTGACCCATCTCGTGTTTGCGTAGTCCTTTATTGCTAATTGCATTCCATCAATAAAGTTACAATGTGGTCATTTGTCTAGGTAATCAGTATCGTGTTCACTCGCTTTAGATACTAAGTAGTTTTAAGTATTTGGCAGGGAGCTCTTTACCTAGGCAACAAGCTCGTTAGTGTTCGTTAGCAAGACGTTTCTTTAATAAAGTCACAGAATTCTTGAACTTGATTGACAGAATTCTATTAGTACCGAAGGATTAAACAAACATGACACTATTCATTACACAAAAATCAATCAATTACAAATATGTCAGTTTTACAGGAGGTCAGTTATGACCTCAATAGCTCAGTGATGACATTTCCGATCTTGAGGTCTGTTGACGCTGATCGGAGTCTCACGGAGGCATATGTTTCATAAAGATATCAGGCACACCAAACTGATGAGTGTCAAATAGCATGAAACCTTTGTCCAGGATTGAATATTGGTCACCTCCAACCGTCAAATAATGTCAAAGTTTCAATGATATTCTGAATGTTTTCACTATTTAATAATATTTATGTTTGCACATTGGATCTGTTTGAAATTTTAAATTGTTTTCACTTCCGGATGAAGTATCTTCAATAAAACAATCTTTGTCTTTTTTTTTTTCAATATTTTTAATCTGTACGAAATATACTCGACTGATTTAAATTTATGATAAATAAACTGAAGTTGTTCAAATACAGCAACTACACAACAAACAAATAATGCAAACTTAAGTAAAATTTCATGCGTTACTGTTCAGTAAGAATAAAATCGACACAAACTAGTTTATTTTCTAATGAAAACGTTTACACTGCATTGAAGAGTGCCTTTAGTCTAACACGTCAATGCTCTAACCTCTAGACTATTGAGGTGGTATACAATGGTGCACAAGTTTAACTTCGACCAATTCACAATATTTCCCGACCATTTTCCTTTGTTTTTGGTGAGTAACTTCCTTATTGGTTGTGTAACTTAAATCCATTCGTGCGGTCAATAGAATCCAACAGTCTCCAGTACCATATATATTGATAAATACTTTTTATCAGTACAAATTAATCAATTTTCATTCATTTTAAGCTGATAGGCTAATGAATAGTTTTCTTATAGAAAACTGATTGCCTTAAAATGTGCTTACTTGTACTACATCAGAAAAATCTTAATTCAAATAAGGTTATCGGGGATTATACTATACCGGTTTAATTAAGTAGTCATATAGTAAGTAATGAACGTGTTATATACTAATAAACATTCAGATAATCTAATTTTGCAAAATTAAGTCTTATTACAATTATATCTTAGTCTTCATTAGGTTATCAATACTGTGCTTTATGTTAAATTCCTTTGTTTTTCAAGTATGTACATACATTATTAACATAAGTAGACTTAGAAATACAAGCACCTAGAAAACGTATGTTTTAATCGATAATAAACTTTTCATTGATTAACCTTCATCTTTTGGTTACTTATGAAAATCAACATAAATGAGATATGATGTAACAAAATCATGATACGATAAACAGTTGTATTATCTTATTATAAAAGTCCCTTAGAATTTTACGAAATCCATGTTGAATTATTTCGTCCATAAAACTCACTGTTTAAATTCAGTACAACGTTACTTGATAAATTTGATAACTCACTTGACAGACTGATTTGATATCAGATGAGCTTTGTGGAGATTGTAGTAATTTCAGTGATTAAGATCATGAGTCAGTTGAAGCTAGACCACCATGGAAAATTTGGAAGCACTGGACGGCTGTTTCGTCCTATTGTGGGACTTAGATAATCATTGAAAACCACGAAGTATTGAATTGCTGTTTCATTATAGTTTGCGACTTATTTGTATTGAACATTCAAAATTTTACAAGTGTTAAATCTAGGATAGTCAGGTCTCGTGACAAATGTGTAACTGTAAAACTGTTGAATGGGGATTCAGTGGTTTTAATTTCTAACATTAATCAATTTATGATAGTTAGATGAAATTTACTTGTGAAATTCTGGTGTCATTTCATTTGGAAAACTACAGTGTATTGTGTGTTTGTTACCATTTATGGACTTGTTACATAAATGTGAAAGCAGTAAATATAATTAAAATCTACCTTCTTCAAACAATGAAGTTGATTAGCAAATTTAGATGATTACAGATAACTAACACCTATTGCCAGATGAAATTGTGAAAGAATATCACTAGAAGATTTAATTCAGTTGTATTGATTATAACCACACATATAATAATAATAATAATTTATATTCTGAAAGTAATAATTACAAAATTCACGCCAGTTTACAGGCATGATCAATATAGTTTTAAGTATACTAGTTCAGTAGTTGTTTAAGTAGTACACATATTACAGCGATCCAATGCATCAGCCGGGAATTTTTAATATTTCTTAAATGGACAGCCTGTTGATTTATGAGCGGTGTATTTAAGGTTATTACCTATTGCAGAACGAACTCATGATAATCATCTACAACGAGAGAAAGTAAAACGAAAATGGACAGCACGAAACAACAAAGTAATAATTACCTGAATATGTCAATCAGGTCTACCAAAATGCACGTGTCATGTGACCCGGTGATATACTGTTCATGTTATTCAAATGAGTTAAACTTTCTGAGGACGGTGTTAACATAAAGTGACAGCAAATAGGTGGTTTTAGTTAGGGAATGCACGAATAAAAATGGCCAAACATTTAAAGATCCTATAATACTACTTGTGGAATGCAATACACTTACAGGTGCTAGAACATTCAATGCATTTTCCGAGGAGCAGTATGTATCGATGTAGCGAATAAATAATGGGAGTGATTTTATCGTGCGGATAGATTGTGGTAGGTTATTCCATAGTCTAGAAAATTTACAGGTAAAGCAATTCATATAAAGAGATGATTTAGAATGAGTTTGTTTCACTAGTGCCAAGGAATTACGGATGTCATAATGAGAAGTTTCTGCATATTGAATCACGTGATTGGATGTAAACGATAGTTTATGAAGTAGTTTGAAGAAAAAGATAAGATTTAGTTTGAGCCCCCTCTTCCATGAAGGGTCGAAGCCAAGTTTATTACATATAGAATTATAAGTCAAGGTACAATCAGCTCCAAGAATACAAAGTGTAAATCGTCTCTGTATTGATTCCAGCCTTGATTTATCCTTTATGCGAGCACTGCTAAGAATAAACGTGCAATATTCTAGAAGAGGTCGAGCACAAACATTGTACATTAAAATACGTGACTCATTGTTATAAAGGTTTCGATGAGACTTAGAGGTCTGTTTTAATATCTGTTCTGTAAACGATAAGTCTTGGGAGTATTTGAGTCCTAAGTCTACTACTGTATATTAATTTAATGTTTTAGTTACGAGACTATACTTTATGAACGAACCAATCAGATTTAGGACATCTTGGATTTTGGCACGAAATTCATTTATCCATTTGGCTAAATAACATTTTGTCATTTTAGTTGATGTCAGTTCTTGATAAAAACTTTAAATCAAATTGTTAACTTTAGCCATCAATTGGAAATCATAATTCTAATTCCTCACACACTGGTTTATAGCTCACATTTAGTCCTAGTTAGTAGGTGAACATTCTCAAGGTCACTTTGGCATTGCTCAAAAGTCGTCCATAAATTGTCGTCTTAACGTTTTAACAAATGATCTCAGTAACTATTCAGGTGTAAAACAATTTCAATAAATCTATCCCCATCTCTGATGATTTTAGTCCTAAACATTTAAATTAGTTATTTTCAAATTTGGTTACCTCAATTTAATTAGTCAAACCTATTGACTTGAGCAAATAAATTAGGATGCTACTCATTTTGTTCAAAATAATGTATACACCTTTCTCACTATGATATTTATCGTGTCACCGTTTACTTATTACTTTGTCATTGTATTTTCTAACTTGTCCTATTTTCATTTATACATGTTAAAACAAGAATGAAAATATATATTGGTATCCTTTTTCGTTTAAAATAAACTTTTTAGTTTCCAAGTTATCATGCATGATGAATTATTGAAAACGATGAACAATTGGACAGTTTTTTTCTTTCTATTTTGATATTCCTTAGTAATGTGCTATCACTAACTATGCTAACATCAATTAATAATGAGAATTATTTTTGAAATCCTCATCAAACTATTTGTTTTTTCAAAGCAATGATGGATATTGGCTAGCAGTGGAATCCAGGACGCGCGTTTCGTCCAATTCGGGACTCGTCAGCTAGATGTACCTTCATCTCAGGGTTGATGTTCATTCTGGGACTCGAACCCAGTACCATTCTCTTCAAACGCCATTGCGTTATCCACTCAGCTACTGAGTCCTGATAGCCACTTGCTTATGCAATGGGGTGAATTTAAATTCACTTGGTACTGTTTAGCTTATATCTTCCCATTGAGGTTTAAGACTACAACTGATCAGTCTGTTATTGGCATATGTGCATACTGTGCGTATGCCAATAACAGACTGATCAATTGCAGTCTTAAACCTCAATGGGAAGATACAAGCTAAACAATACCAAGTGAACTATTTGTTTTTGTTCAATGTGTATTTTTCTATTGAATTATTCTACTTAATATAATGTAGTAGTTTAATTATTCTCTCACTCAAGTTGTATTGTTGTTAATAACATATTATTATTATTATTATTATTATTATTATTATTATTATTATTATTATTATTATTATTATTATTATTATTATTAGGTGGATGTTGGTACAAGCTCAATTAATAATCGATCTGTTAATAATAATCGTACACTATCTGAATTCTGTTCTTCATCATATTCACTACAATCAACTAATTCTGATCTGATCAACACAAATTCATCAACTATATTTCCAATCACATCAAATTGTTCTTCTAATAGACAAAAGTTAAACGACTCACCATCACATGTTGAATGGTAATACTTATGTGATATTATTGTTGATTATAATGAATGATTATTCTTATTTATTAAGTTTTAATAAATAAATATTTGTTAGAATAATAGCTTATTATATTCCATTGTAGTATGAATATAGTCCCGTGAATAATCTTTTAATTTACTCCTATTCAATGGTCACGATTTCATTCACATGATATATATATATATATATGAGTAGGAAAATAGGTGATTGAATAGAAATAAAATTTAAACTATCTAATGATAGAGTATTGTATTGTTCATCTCAATAGAATATTTGAAATGCATCTTAGGATAAGGATATTTTTTTCGATAGAACAATGAGAAGACGGAGTCGATCTGAAAAATGTGATGTATTCGCGCTATACAACTTCGTCTTCTCATTGTTCTATCGAAATTTGTAAAAAGGGACTAATTGCTTTAAGGATATTTTGTCAAGTTAAAAAAAAACCATTCTTGATATATGATAACATGTTTACAGTTTAAAGTCAATCTTGGAATTTAAATGGATGCATTCATTATGTTTTGTTCATGCTCTTCATAGTGATGATAGAGTCTAATCTTAGTAACTTTCTAAATCATGAAGTGTTAATGATTTATATAGATTTTGAATAGTTCACGATAGCTATTTCTTAAATTTTTTGATTCATATTATCAAGCTTTCTCTTGTTTACTGAAGATTATTTGAATATGATAATATATTTACAAAATTAACCTGGATTTCAAATACTTCATTCTTTTTAAAGTATGTTTGTGTTATAACCCAGCTATTCCTATTGATTAGTATTCTTGGACACCAATTCATTCGATAAGTGCCCGAATCAGAACATAGTTGAACAGGAAAGAGATTATATTCCAAATAACAAGGTTAGATGAAAGTAAGAAGCACAGTAGAAAACACGTTAGTATATTTATATTTTTTGCATGAGATTGTAGAGTGTTCTCCAAGCATCAACTAGCGCTGATTGGATAAGAAATAGCCATTCACTGTGCGCCAAAGCAATCGTGCATTGAGCATACTTTAATCTAATCTATATCCCGCTATCACCTCACCTTTGAGCATATTAGTAGGATCTGGTGCGTCGAGGACGTTTACGCTTCTTCATGGGTTGAGGTGTTTTTTTCTCTTCTTCTTCGTATATAATTATCACAGGGTCGATGATCAATGTACATCATTGTGCATAATGCTTTTAAACAAACACAGTAACTAGTGTTTGTGTATTAGATTTTAAGTTAAATGTAATGTATTAGTGCTTGGGACATTATCTTTGTATTTGGACTCATGATTTGAATGTTGAGAGTCAGATACCAAGACGCTTGAGTTAAGTTACGAATATGAAAGTTTGTTACCTCGGCCTATCTATTCGGATTGTATCCAGCTTCAGTTATATTTTTGTAGTAACACAGTAACATTTGGCTTCATCAATGGAGAAATGATTTTAGTGAATATTCTTTACTTAAATGCTTGTGAACATCTTACAACTTCAAACTAGCTATTATTTGACGATATTGTATTTAACAACTTTTTTCTTAGTCTTTCAAAGGTTACTTCCCTCATCAGATACGCTTTAATTAACCTGAGTTACTTGATGAACATAATTCTGTTAGATCAATATGCTGATAAAATTCAAACATTTCGGAACATTTTACGAATGTATTGTAACGTTTAAAGTTCTGATAGAGGATGAAGACGTTCTGAGAACCCTCATAGCCTAAGCATGATATATTAGTCATTATTGAACTACACAAACTCAGTTTAGTATAAATAAGTGAAACAAACTTGGATATATGTTGATTTGAGGTGATACTTAAGCTTTTTAAAAGATTACGTTTTACATATCCGTTATGAATATTTCTATTAACAGATTGATTTAATTGTAACGACTAAACTTTAGAGTATCAGATAAATTTAGTCTATTGACAGCATTAAAGTATTTATTTTATCTGACAACAGATCGACATACTAAACAAAGTCGTATCCTTAAATCATGTAGCGTGATAATAAAACTATAATGGTACTTTTATTAGTCCTCTCAAAGAGAAAAACGTATCATTGTTGAGACTAGATGGTGGTTGGAGGTAGTCGACAGGAAATCCTGGACCCAGGTTTCGTTCTACTTGGCACTCCCTGGCGGATCCGACCCCGTATCACCCGGCTTCACAGTCAGAGACGTTACCACTGAGCTATCGTGGCCGCAACTGACCTTCTGTAGGACTGAGATGTAATCACAATTGATTGATCACTGGGTGGTGATCAATGTCATGTGTGTCAAGCCGTTATTTAGTGCAGATCGAATGCTATCGACCATGTTGCAATGTGGCCACCAGTCTAGGTGACTTGACACTGCGTGCACTATATATATTGAGACTAGATGGTGGTTGGAGGTAGTCGACAGGAAACCCTGGACCCGGGTTTCGTGCTACTTGGAACTCGTCAGCAAGGTGTACCTGCACTAAATAAGGACTTGACACACATGACATTGAACACCACCCAGTGATCAATCAATTGTAATGTATCAATATTTTCATCTATACTTAAAGTCAGTCTAATAAAGATATTTCTTAGTAAAACAAATATCTACCTTCTTATATCTCTGGTAAATTATCTCAGAGTAATCATTCATTTACTTTTCTTGATAATATCAACGGATTGACTGCATATTGAAGTGAATTATATGAAACCACCACTCAAATATATTTTATTTCTTTAATTGAACTCGATAATCTGATATAAAACCCCGAAATTCTTATTATCTGTGAAATTATTCGATGAAGTCATAAAAATCATATAAATTCTTTTAGGTTTTTTCATGGGGATTTTTGTAGGCTGATAGCTGTTACTCTACATATGGCTTTGAAAAATATCTTTATACTTATTACTTGACATTATGCCCGATACCATCAGGTTGTACAAATAACTTTTATTAAAAATCTAAAGTGTGGAAGAATTAGATAGTTGATAGAAAGGGAATTGAATTAAGTCGAACATCTCCAGGTGACCAGTCTCTCCTAATTAAGGTATTTGTGGAGATTGTTAAATTTTATTGTTACATCACAAATCGATCTTAGTTTAACAACCAGTTGAAAACATTAGTTACCATAAAACTGTTTCGTTTTAAAATAGAGCTATCTAACAGTGCTCATCCACCACTCTATTGGATCGAACCCCAAACCTTTAGGACTTGTGGTCACCAATTGACTTTTAAACCACTCAGTCTACATCCGGTGGTGGATAACTGCATGATTTTCAACAAATCCCTTGCACAAATGATAACCACATGCTCATTAGTAACTAATTTTCAGTGGTAACTTCCACAATTCTAGTTAGCAGTAGTAAATAGTGGAGTTCAACTATGTTGAGTGTGAAAAAGTCAACTGGAAATAGCCGTTACGAGATAGTTCAGTTATTTCATGAATTGAAATGTTAACTAACGTATACTTAGTAGTTTTAATAATATAAATTGACCAAGTAGCAGGTAAACAGAATGGTTAATTTTCCTAATATCGTTATGTTATCTTTTAGTAATGTTCCAAATACCATTATAATTCCCTCATGTCTTTTTCTTCTTAAAGCAGTTTTACATTTACTAATATTGCAGCTTCTTCGATGAACAATTGATTGTGGAAAATGGGGAAAGTAGTACACAGGATATTCACAGTCAAAAATTGTCATTAAAAAATAATCATCATCACCAGGTACAACATCAGCCCCAAATATCCAAGGTCAGCAATTTCAAATCATCTCATACAAGTTCAACTAATAGAATCAATCGAAATGAATCAGGGAATAAATTAGCTCTGAAATTCACTAAGTCATCTAACAGTACTATACAACCATTACCATCCAAACCATTAGTAAAACATACGAATTAACCGATGGAACTTTTGTTTTTGTATTGTTATTATTTCATATGCAGATGTAAATGTGTGTATGTGTTGTTTATGTATTTAAGAATTGATAAATGTGTGTTGAGTGATCTTTGTTTTCTTTCTCCTTCTCTCTTCCACAAGTAAACATATATACTCTGTTTTTGTACTTGTTATGTGAAATAATAGTAACTGTCCGCTTTTTATGCAATCGAAAATCACTTGTTATTCTTGTTGACGGTTTTTTCAAGGTTTGGTATAATTGAGTATATTAACAATTTAAAACAACTAAGCTTAGTGTGATTGTCAGTAATTTGATTTTAAAAATTAACTTGGAAATTCGATTAAGTTTTCTTTATATTGATGAATTCTATGATGTAGATGGTTTAATTGCAGAGTTTTCATTGTCTTTCTAAAGATCACTATCAACTTTATGGAACGCTCAGTTAATTACATGTCAGAGGCCACTGAAACAAGAATAGATGAGGGCAGCGAAACCAATAAAGGCAAATCGTAATAAAAAATAAGACCGTCAGAATCAATTGATTTTACATCAATACAACCTCACTTCTGCATAAAGTAATTGCTAATGTTACTGTTCAAAATGACAATGAAAGCTACACAATTAAACTACCTAACTTAGAAACTGTTTACAGAGATTCATTAGTTATTTTGGTTATCCTTGCGGCTCAGGACCTCTTGGCAATAACTTTTACCCTGTTAATTATCACGTGATAGGATCGCCATTCAGAACACCGACATATACGACTTGGCCCTGTGTCAAACTAATGACGCGTTAGCCAGCACGAGCAACCTAAAATCGACTTTGAGTCCTGTTAGGTCCCGATAAACGTAATGAATGGTAACTTTGGAATCCTTTTATGGACCAATACTAAATGTATATTTTTTATAGTATAATTGTTAAATAACTAAACTATTCATACTCATGTTCCTTTTATTATAAGCTTTATTTTGACTTATGAACCATTATTATACGTTTTACCATTCTTGAATTATGCCCTGTCTATTAGTCACTACCTCTTACATTCACAGTCACATTTGGCCAAATTTTGTATAAATGTTATTTTCTATTTTATGTTACGTTGTGGTCTGTTTGATTATTATGTAAACTCAGTATGTTTGAAATATAATGATTCATATTGCAGACATATACAGTTAATTTACAAGCAGACCAAACCACATCACACCATAAATGGAAAATATTAATTAATAAGATCAAACCAAAAATGGCTTTGAGTGTGAGGGACTGTAACTAGTAGATTAGGAATAGCGTAAGATTAATAAATTGTATACTAGTAGTCAATAAGTCAAATGAAAGCTTATAATAAGAGAAATACAAGTATGTATATAATCTAGTTACTTAATAGTTACACAAGAAAACATATGATAGTCTCTGAATAGTTCTTAGCAGTTGCCATTCATTTATTCTTCGTTAGGATGCAACACCTTCCAGTTGTTATCCGTGGTAATTTCTCATAATAGATCTTGTAAAGCTTCAAATTTATTGCTGAGAGTTATCTTGAACTCGTTTCAGTTGTTCACATCTCCAAAGGAGGCTATATTAAACTTTCGTGCTACTGCTTGTTCAACTACTCAGTGCTACTTTAGCTTAATTTTTACAGTGGTCATCAAAAGTGATGATCTAAGATTGTATCAGATCCTTTCTTTGTTCTTATGTCTTCTGTGAACTTTCTGAACTTTAAAATCCTGCATGTGTTATCTATGTTGTTTTCTGTAGTGTGATCCAGTGAAGCATATAGTGGCCTTGTATGTTCGTTTATGTGGGAAAATGGTGCCACCTATAACTATGTTGTTGACAGTACGTAGATTCTCAAGTCTCGCCATTCTCGATTTTGTCTTCCAACTCATGTCGCTCCATGATGTCTTCACTCCTGGTGTTATTTGCCTCGAACTGTGCGTTGAAGATGTTCAGGTTTCTTCCCGGACATTTCTGTGTAATGAACTTAAGTATGTCATAGAACTGATCTTTGCCACCTTAGTTGTAACCAACGGTGAGAGCATAGTGCTGGATGACGTTCATTGCAATTCCCCCCTTTTTACACTGAAGAATGCTCTGATGATCCCGGAGCCATAAGATTCCCATCCTATATGTGATGTTCTTCCTTTTTTAAGCATCATTAGTGCAACTCCTTATATGTGTGGGCTATTTTCTTTGTGGCGAGAATGCAATAACAGATTTATTGAAGTCAATGTGTTTCATCTATTCTAGAGACAGTCAAGTTGTATCGTTTCAATTCTGTTATTATTTGAATGGTTCTCTGGGTCTTCTTCATTTTTCAGCCATTTTATATATCTATGTTATTTGTCGCTCTGTTTTTCAGAATGAGAAACGGCCTTATGGCCTCCAAAGAATCCTGGTTTTCATCATTACTGTTCCGTATTAAGACTCTTGAACTCACAGGACAGAGTTTAATTAAATTCATTGAATTATTCTAGTTAAAGTTTTTGGAGAGAGGACCTTTTTTACGTGGTAGGATTACTAACTCTACGCCCAACCCGGATACTTCATCCAGGCTTGGGGCTGGTATTAACCCGACATCGACTCTAGGTGTAGTTAATGTTTTAAAATAAATAAAATAAATTTGAAATTTTCTCTTATACTATATTTTGTCTATTGATTGATAAACCGAATTAATATCCTCCAATTCATGAATAACACAGTATAGTCTAGTCCAATTTATATGCTATTAGTTTTTATAAAAATATGAAGTGACCTGAAAACGTTCAATTTGTTTATCATTTTGTTATCACTGACTTAAAAAATCTAGTAGGCCAATGGTTAATTAATATCACCGAGAATCGATATTTATTCTTTCATCAGTTTCACAATTCATGATTGAATATCAACAACCAGAAAGAGCTAACCAGATTTGATTTACTCTGTGAAAAATTAGTCCTGTATTACAGTAAATTTACAAGTTTAATAATCGATTTCATGAGTTGATTGAAACTAGACCACCATGGAAAACTTGAAGGCACTAGACGGCCGTTTCATCTTACCATGAGGCTCCTCAGCAGCGCCCATCCACGATCCCACTCGGCGAGATTCAAATTAATTTTTAATTAAATAGACTAAGCTAATTGAGTTTTTATTTATTCATAACAGCTGAGTGATTGTGGGGTTGATATTTATCACAGATTTCTACTCTTATAATGTGAACATTCTGATATTTTTGACTTTAAATGATAGTTGACCACTTAAATAAATGACATTTCCTTATGTAAGTAGAGCCGTAAATTAATGGTTAAGGCGAGAGATTTTCAGCCACTTATTGACAATTTCGAATCCCGCTTTGCATACTTCAGTTTGGGCAAACAGTTTATATCATTAGTCCTCATATTTAGAGTGCGGCTCATGCCCAAGTAAATGGTGTGTGATGTAAATTATTTATTTTTATATTTATGTGATTTTCTATTTTATAGTACGATGTGATCTGTTTGGTTTGAATATAAACCCAGTAGGCTTGAAATACATGATTGATATCGTGGAGGTTGAGATTGGTGTTGTGAAGTTAACAGGTAGAGTTAGGCAGGAATAAGGATTGATAATGATTCTAGATTGCTCATATGGTTTTTTGCATCATTGGTTGGGTCGATAAATCACTGTTCTCTAATTGGCGGTATCATCACATCATATATTGATTTGGCCACAAGTTATAACAATAATTAGTCATGAATGATGCGCTTAACGTCTATGCAATAGTACTAAAAGTGTTAACATCGGTATTATTTTGACATACACTACTGATAAATATGATTGATTAATGATTAGACCCATCAATCAGTATCATTTAATAATAAGATCAATGTTATTAAAACACTGAATACACATTCGTAGTATTGACTTGTACTGCACAAACTGTAAGTCGATTCTTGCCTTAGTATTTGGTCTACTAGATATATAAAATGCTCAAATGTATAATATGAGTCATTACTATGTATATGTATTCAGTGTTTTAATAATATCGACCTAATGATCAAGTGATATTAATTAGTAGACTTAGTCGTTATTCAATCATATTTATGAGTAGTGTATGCCGAAATATTGGTGTATATAAAATACAATACCTTATTTATAGAAGTAGTGATTAATGTAAAAGTACAAATACTTCAATGTGTATACACTACAAATTTGAGCACAGTAAACTAATATACAAAGATCACTCCTATATTTAAGTTGGCCCACCACTGATTTTTATTTCAGATTACTAAATGATTAATCATTACAAAAACATACTATTATGATATTACTGTTTTCATTTTTTTTTATTTTTAAAATAGGCCTCACATAGTAACAAAAATATTTTAGTCATCATACTACATTCACGTTATAATTCGTTACTAACTTACTTGGTCTACTGTTATTATTCGTATTACGTAATCTAGTATTATAATCTTATTCGTGTTCACATTTCCTCACGAAACTAATAGTACTTTAGCAAAAAAGCTTTCATATATAAACGATTGTACAGCTTGACAATAAATTCATTGAAAAGAGATCCTTTCACTGAACTTCTTGTTTTTTAATATGTAAAATAAACCAATTCAACTTAGTATTCTCCGTTTATTATACCAGATGTAGGTATAGAAATTGTTGAAATCTATAAGTTAAATACGTAAATAGTTAAATTGAAAATTATATTTCGCAATCAAGGATACAAGACTGTTTCTGCTGGAGCTTTTCTACATAGTTTTAACAAATATGTTAATGTTATAGTAAACTAGAAATTATAAGTTTAAAGCATAAGTGAAATTAACTCAGCCAAACTTCGTAGATTGATAGTTTCTTGCTTGTTAAATTATTCCAGTTTTAATCAGTGAGAATAACAGTTTCGAAGGGATGTTTTACTCAAAACTTGACGACTCACTTAGTTTGCCTCAGATCCTTCAAATTGTTCCGTAGAAGTTTGGCTTTTTATATTAAGATAGTGTTTTCTACTTGTTGAGGATTCCATTTAAAAATCGACCGCATACTAGAGTATAATTGGTTCTGAATTTGTGAACTTTTCTACTATATATTCTTACAAACCTAACATCCTGAATTATAACAAAAATGAGTTCCTCGTGAATCAACGAAAACTCTTGAAGCTTTATACGAAACGTATAAATTATGAGTAGTTTGTACTTCATTATTTAATAGTTCTAATATAAATTTTCACATTTGGAAAATGAATCTTTAACCTTCATTTCTAATCCGAGTTCTGTTTGACATCTTAAATGTTGTTTTAAATGCTTTTTTTACACCACTTGTGAGTTGATCGGTTTTCAAAATTGAATACATTTTAATTTAGATAACTTGCTTATTTGATTACATTTGGCATTAATATATAAACATCATTCATTTATATTGACTGACATGTTTCAGAAAAGATTTCTTCTTTAATTATTGTATTATTAACAAATGATAAAAATGATAGACTATTAGTATTATTATTGTCTATAGACGTTTCGTTATTCTCCTAGACTGAATCATCAAGATATAC